AGCTCAGCATCATATTCTAATATTTTAAAACCACACTCTTTAAGAAAACATTACTATTTTTTAAAGGCAAGAATAATGAGCCAAGGTCATGATAATTTTTAATTAAACCTTAGCTAGGTGAGCCTAAAGCTGCTCTAACTTAGGTTTATAATAGCTTAAGTGTAGTATCTGCCTTAGTAATATTATTAGCTATCTTGTCCTCTACTTATTTTAAAATATCCTACTCTTTTATAGTATGAAATTCCTTTTTGCATAAATAGCCCTGATGAGTGTAAGTAATAGATAATAATAAGTTTAATCTATTATATACTCCTAACCTAATAACAAATAATACTTACATAAAGAAGATAAGATAACCTATTATAATAAATATACTCCTCTTACTTAATATAAACAGCAGGATAATCACAGGGAAGCTTATAGGGACTATTAGATGAGGTATCAGCATGATACTTTAGCATAATAGGCAAATATAATAAAAAGAAATAGAAATAAGATATTACTCACCTGGGGGAAGCGCTGCTTTTTAAATCAAGTTTTAAGGATGAAATACTAGAAGGGGGAGGGTAATGTTATAATACTAACATAGCTATATTAGTATAAGGCAGATGTGATAGGCAGAATTAAAGGGGATTATCAATCACTAATTAATCTAGAAGGATTACAGAGTGATCTGGAGAAATGCTTAATCTAGATAGGATCCTTATAGAAAACCATATAGTAGGATATAACTAAATAGTTATTCTACAACCACAAGCACATGATGAAGTGGTATATAGAATAGTATACTAAGACCTTAGAATAAGAGTATATAGATCTACCACCTTTATACTTAGAAATACATTCAGTATACCATTGAGAGAACTATAGATATATAAGGATGTTATTATTATTATATCTAGCACTCTTAGCTTAGTTCCTTATATTTAATACAAGTTATTTACTTAAGTATAAGTTCACTAGTCTGATTTATTAGTTACTCTTTTACTATTAAGTATACATACTTAATAGGCCTTGCTTCTATCTCTACTATATTATTCTTGTGTTACCTTTGGTTATCCTTTAATCCTATTCAGATCATTGTATGGTGTTGCATCATTAGGCTACCCAGTCAGTAGGCCTCAGGCAAGTATTGGATATAGTCCAGGGACTATATCACCCGTTCCCAAAGTAGTTGACTAGCCAGAGAACAGTAGAGACGGATCCCAGGGTGTGACAGGTGGACCACTTGTTAGGTGGACCACTCGCCTGGAAAAATATGGTTATATCATGCCACCACTTGCAGAAGCCTCCGAAAAGAAAAAGAATAATACATAATAAAAAGAAATAAATTCTGGTGGTATAAGTTGTGTATGGGTACCATTTACAGTTCGAAGCATTTATTGCTTCTTTGCTCGTCCTGCTTTTCTGCTGAATTCGTAGTACGACTCCCTACTGTTCTACCCGACCGTTATTTGCCTGCTAGCCTCTTGCACCCCGAACTGCTTTAAAACTGACCCTCTATCCTCTTTAAGAGATCTGAAACCAGCTGTTTCAATTTGGCGAGAGGATACACATATATCTCCCCCACGTCGCGGGTTATAAAACTGTAACCCTTCTCATCATGGAGCCATTTGACAGTTCCATTTCCACGGTCAGACATTGTTATCCGACCAACAAAATGGCGCTTGATTAGATGAACTTGGAATATGAAAAATGTGAAAACTACTTACGATCCCAGGGAGATCAATTTGAATGGACAGTTCGTATTCTGTGCCTGGCCGGTGCTTGGCAGCGCTTTGGGATGATTCGACCTATTGCAACTTTGCAGGGTCCACTTGAGGAGCAATTGGCAGGACCCGCGGTCTGTGGTGTTGCCCGTCTGAAAAAAAAGAGTATGCATCCTGTCATGCTTGATCTTGTTCAAGTCCTTGTTCTTCCCGATATCGTGAACCAGCACTTTCACTTCCCCGCCCTGTCTAGTGCTACTGCCCGCAACGTTGCACACTGATTGAAAAGGCTGGCTCAGCATGGATGTTCGAGCCTCGAGGCCCAAAGTATCGCAAACGACCTCCAACCGGTTAGCGCGCGTCTTGCGGGCGATTCAAATCGAGCGATGGGCAACACAGTCAGCACTAACAGCAGGTCGCTTCAGCTTCAGCTATCTGTGCCTTTCCATAGTGGAAAGTGCACTGCGATCCGGCTCACAGCGCCTGCTAGTAATGGTGGGCTGAAAACCAGCCCTGCTCTACATTGCTTCTTGACATCCAGAGGCCATAAATGGCCCGCTTTCGTCCCTCGCTGAAATAAAGCCAATGAAAACGGCACTGATAGGCAGAATGAAGGCGGCAAAGCAAAGGATCCTGCAGGCAAGGCTCAGCCATGGCCCACAAACAACTTGACAGGGTTTGCTAATTCTCAGCTCTCTCAGGAGCCGCGTTTCCTATAAGAGCGGCTGACGGCCTCTGTCTCCGACGGGCCAGAGTCCGCTCTTGTCCGGGCACCTCAATATAATATGTCTCCGCCAACGTATGATCGCACGGTCCCGGACAAACAACCCCAGTCGCCAGTGGCCAGCGCCAGTCCAAGAGACGGATACACCGGCGACATGGGCATTGGATGGAGGCATCCGGCCCTGATGGTCGGGCTCGTCATATCCGGTGCGATGCTGTCCATGGGTCATCATTTCTACTACAGGAGCCTCGACGGCGGTCGTGTCGCGTCTCGCGAGGAACAGACGTGGGCGATCCGGATCGGAACTGGCTTCGCGTTTTTGATCAAATCATGCCTGGCGTCCGCCGTTGGCTCGCAGCGGTGCAGGAGACCTGGGCCACCCTCCGCCGGAAGAGCGTCCGGCTCAGTGGGATTGATAGCATGTTTGCCGTCGGGACAGCCCTCTTGCTCTTCTCACCCTGGACTTGTGGGTCTATGCAAAGACGCTGACCGTGCTGGCGATTGTTTCCTGGTATGTGCACCTCCATGACTCGTGGTGAGCCTATGACTGATTCTCGATCCGACCAGGCTGATTCCTCTGACGGCGATCGTTACGCCCGCAACTTTGAACGTGGTTACATATCCAGCCAGGGATGAGATCGAGCGGCTCGTTCCAAACGTTAACTTCGACCCATCATTCTGGCGTAATGAGGCACAATTCGATGAGGCGTGGCACATCACCTCCCCATCTGCCAGCATGGCCCGCGTCTTCACAACCTTGGCCTCATCGGCCCAAGTGCTTCCAGTTCCTGCACCGTTCTCCAACTCGTCTTACAATCTCTCATTCTGGGTCCTTCGTACAAATGCCAGCGACTGAGTGAAGCTCTCATGGAGATAGACGGGGTGACGCAGAAACTGTGGGATAGCGAAATCACAGAGCCGCAGTTCCAGACAACGAGGCTCTACATGGGACTGCACCTTCGGATCTCAACAATACCGTCTTCATATCAGCTGCAGGCAGCAATCCGCTGTGGAACGACAACGCCACACAGCCCACTGAGATTGTCTGCCAGCTCTGGAATACCTCCTACGTAGTCGACATGCACTTCACCAACGGCATTCAGACGCTGACGCCAATCTCAGTCGACCACATCGCCTATGCCAATTGGAATGAAAGCGCTGCTATCAACTTCGCAGCGCCTTCATACTCAGAAGTAGATCCAACAGTGAATGCAGGCTTTTACATAATCCAGATGATCCTCTCGGGTCTTCTCCAAGGCGAACTGGTTCAGAGTAAGAGAGCCGGAGTGTATCAGGATAAGACTGTTGCATCTTCGACGACATACACCGATACGTCACTTGCGTACACCAGCCTCTTTGCCTGTCCAGAATTATGGAACACCAGCAGCTATTATTATAAACATGGCAACGACTCCACTAAAACTTCGTGCCGGAACGGAACCTTGGCCCAGGCCATCGAGGACCTCAGCCACAATTTCACCTACACCCTGCTCAGCCTTAATGGCGGAAACTCCACCGTCAAAGTAATGGACTTGACCAACCGCAACTACTATTTCTACGGCAGTACGGTCCTGCTAGCGGCTTACATGAGTGCGCTGGCTGTCACGATTGCGTGCGTCGTCGTCGGCTTCTTCGCCCTGCGACGAAACGGCGTCCCCCAAAACAACTCGTTCTCAAGTGTCTTGATGACGACTCGGAATCCGGAGCTGGACCGCTTGGCCGTCGGCCATTGCTTGGGATTCGAGCCGCTGAGGGGGATATTGATAAGGTTCGGCTGCAGTTTGGGGAGGTCGAGGCGCAAATCTGCGACATAGGCATGCGGCGTTCGGGTCCAAGGGGTCGGTGACAGCCCTCTCTAAGGGCGAGGATTATTATTAGGTAGGCTAGGTAGAAAATGATGCTACATTTATGGGAACTGTGGAGGCGATTGGCTATCGGGTAGTTAGATGGTTGGGCTACCTCATTCATGGCATATTCTGGTAAGCCAACCTCTTACCTGTAATATATCTCACGTATCTGCCTATATGGAAGGTAGTCGCGACAGCCCTGCGACCTCGCTATCCTAACCTTAAGTATCCGCGCAACCTTCGACTTCAAAGTAGTCTTAATACTCTTAATGTCTTATCATAACAGCAGCCTTATCATGACAAGATTCTCCCCCTGACAGCAGTCAAAACGTGACTGCTATTAAATACAGACATCACAGAATGAAGGAGCCAGGGCTTTTTATGTTTAAGGATGTGTAGTTAGTGGTAAGTTGAAGGCGGTGTCTGGTAGCCTCATTTGTGATGTTTTCATGGCTTGACCCCTGGAGGGTGCTGTTGATGGAAGAGACATGTTAGTACCACTATTAGACAAGGAATGCACTGTACCTAGACAGATGTGCCTATGATCTGCTTTCTGCCTATGAACTGTCCCTGCTTTCTGCATATATGAAGTCACGCGCAAAAACACTAGTGGCTACTTCAGTGCCATAGTCTACACCAATAATACATAGGCATTCATAAGAATGGCGTGTATATAGTAGTTTCATTAGCTAGAACTGATCAAGCCCTGCGTTATTCAGTTGCGTACTTGCCAACTTGCCCACCTGTTTGTTCCTCCTTGAAAGCTAAATAATAGATGTAGTGGTCCTTGTTCTGTAAGCACTAATGTCGCTCTGTAAGCACTAATGTCGTTCTGTAAGCACTGATATTGCTCTGTAAGCACTAATATCATTCTATAAGCACTAATGTTTTTCTGTAAGTACTAAGTCACCGTAATCTTGAGGAAGCCTCTAGATCCGAATAGGTCTAGAGACCTCTACACAACCACATATATAAGGCCTCTCGAGTATGAGATACATTATAGTAATAACAGCGTCTTCACTCATCTCTCAGACCTTAAAGCTACTATATGCTTTACGGTCCACCATACCCGGTGTTTCGGTCGTCCCTCTCCAGCCAAAAAATAGATCCTCTATACCAAACCTCTTCCAGAATCATCAATTCACCATGAAGGCTCATCTTTTCGCATTAATCTCCGCCCTTCCTTCAACGCTTGGCTGTCTTCACTATGTTGGCCAAATATACTTAGCGCCAAATGGGCCGCAGCTCCAGGCCGCTTGGATTCTTGATGATGGGGTTCTTGTGTGTGACGCCGCTTGGGCTCTTCACGTACTATGGCAGGTTACAAAGTAAACTGCATAAGTGGCTACTCCTTGGAGGTCGGGCCGATGGGGGCGCAGCTTGGTACGGCACGCCGCACGGCAACTTTCGTTGGAGCCAGGGCTACGACCGTAGTGATAACTTTATCGTCTGGGACAATTGGCAGTTTTGCTAAGGAAAGGTATGCTTGGTCTCAAGCCTTGGATCCCGGAATTATGAGTATGTTAATAAGCTTTAGATCGGGACTGTTCTAGACGGCTTACATTGGCAGATGCTTGGTCCGAAGAGCATGCGGCTGAAGAAGATCCTTTGCCTGAATATCATCCCAAAAATGATCTTTTCGATCTGCCTAATCTCTTCTCGAGCACTAAATCGGTGAAGAAAATCAAGAAAGAGCAGAAGAGACAGGCCAGTGCAGATGAATAGTGAGAGTCGGGGCTGAGGTTGCGCGAACGTGTCTAGCATTTTATAAGAGTATAAACTAGGATATGTCGAGGGCTTGCCTTACACCTCGGTGATATGGTGATATAACTTGATTATGATGATTAACTTCAAAGAAAAGCGGAATGGTATCTCATGCCTATCCTCGCGTAAAGTATTAGAAAGTTTAGCATCACGGAAGGAACTCCTTACCGCACCACGTGCTCAAAGTTAATTGACTCAAACATTCACTCAAAGCCGCCCTATTCTTCCTCATCATCCTCCGGAGCTAAGTTCTGGTATTCGCCGTTCTCAGCCTCGTCTGGACGCCGTTGTCTCATGCGCTTTCCAGCAACGTCCACATATCCAACAAGTACAACCCCTACCACCAGCCCCGCCGCAGCTAAGAAGATATCTATCAGGATTGGAATTCTCATTAAAGGGCCTGTGGGTGAGGGGAGTTCAGACCGTACTGGGAGAAGTTTTCGAGCCGGACAGGCAGATCTGTACCTTCTTAGTGATGCGCTACTCCGAAGGCAACCAGTTCCTCACCATCTGATATATGCTCGGTCTGCGCCGGGCTTGGCGATAAGCTCTCAATGATCTCAGTTGCATCGCTTGTCGCCACACAGACCGCATGGAGATGAATTGGGATCTCTGGCCCGTCATCAGTTCATCTTCTCCGGCAGGGATAGTACTGCAACATACCAATACTGTCACCGGGGCGGTGAAAATCATGATAGAAGATACTAGTGTCGCTCTCTGCGTCCTGAAACCATCAACGTCAAACGGGTTCTGCGAGGAGCATCACTATACATACTGAGATAACTGCAGAGCTGCCGCTTACCAAGACTTGACCCTAACTGTCAGTCTAATCGAGGACGATCTTCAAGGATCTTTTTTCTGACCTCCCCTGTGCTGCATTCAAGGTCACTTGAGCTAGACTTGCGAATGAGAAAACCGCTGCCCACTATGGATCGCTGCCAACCGTGTCACTTGCCAAGCTCATCGATGGTGATATTGGGACGGTGAACGAGCTCACTTCCGCCTGTTGTGACATTGGCTTTCTACTTGGACCTGTGCAATGTACGGACAGATAATATTCTGGAAGACGTGGATAGGACCTTTTCCATCACCGATGACCTGTGCTGATTCCCTTTTGAGAGAAGGAACAAGAGTATAGTACCGACCCTTTCCAAGATACTAGGGTGGGTTTAATGAGATACTCTATTGTAGATCCCTAACTTGCGCTCCGGAAAAACTTACTCAGTCCTAGATATGAACCGGCGGGTTGACCACGGGCCCGTATGGTGGGAAGAATGATGGATTTGAAAGCTTCATGGCATGAGCGATTCTAACAGAGCCGTGGCAGCGCCGCTGATGTCACGCCCCAGATCCCCAATAATGCGCTCTTCGACCTCGACCCCAACATGCCCATGACGGCTCCGGAGCCACTGACGTCCAAGTGGGATCTCTGGAAGACTTTGTTGGGGATATTCACGAGCAAGGTCTTCTGATCCTCTCGATATTGTCGCGGGCATTGCAGCTCTCTCGCGACCTGAAAGACTGCCATCGCAAGTGCGAGCTATCAACGACAGGTCTTGGTCTACTCAAGTATCTGCCTTACGGCAGTAGTGACGCGAATATTGGCCACATTGCACATACCAACCTTGGGAGACTGGCAATCGTCTTCTCCAACACTGGCGGGTTACAAGTATGCATGCCAGGCCTGGAGGTTTGGCGGTACATTGCTCCCGAACCCGGGCACGCGATCGTAAACGCGGGAGACTCCTTGACTGCCCTTTCGAAAAGCGCTCTTCGATCGTGTTTGCACCGGATTGAGCCTCCGCCCGACTTGTGACCAGACCAAGTTCTCCCTCGTCTATCTCATGCGTCCGGAATATGACACCGTTTTCACCGCGAGTGACGGGGGGAGTGGACGAGCTTGGACTGGGGCACAACCGGAAGTTCACAGTATTGAGAGCGACTTTTTGGTTCAGAGTCAAGACTCAGTCTTGACCGGCCGTCATGACTTCATTGGCCTCGCTGACACAGTCATCATGAAAAGTCCTAACCAACGCCATGTGAGAGGCACTTTATCCATACGCGAGATGATCAAATTTCTTGAGACGAAGAGATATATTGAAGTGAGCAGTCCAAGGACAAGTACCTCGTTGCGTAGAATAAGAGAACCTTGGTTTGAAAGTTCGTTCTTGCTTGTCCCATTTGTCATCAAATCAACAACGGCCTGCACTGTAGTAAAAGGACTGACGATTGGATCATGTTAGCATACAGGGTATTTTACCTCACTGCCTCCGATGACACAGCAGCACATAATCCAGATAGATTAGACTTTTCGGCCAAATTCGAAGCCCTCGCACGGATACCTGAAAAGCGATATAGCCTAGATAGGCTGCGTCTTAGAAGTGGACAGCCTCAGCTAGATTCCGAAGACTAGACCAATACAGATTAATCCAGGCGTACAAGTTCTTACAGCTTTATTTTCACAGATCATCTTCGACTGGATGTGGGGGTCGTGGGCTGAATCTAACTACTTCTGGCCGCGGAACATATCTGACGCGTCCACCGCTGTGATAAGAATTTGCCTGCCCCATGGCGTCCTCTAAGCCCAGCAAAGAGCTGTTTGTACTGTTATTCCGCCTTAGGCCATTTGAAGTTTGCCAACAGTGGTCCGCGTTCGTTGTATCGGCACTGGCTCAGTCAGTCTCTTGCTGCTGTTTTTCTGATTCACTGGTGGTTTTCTCCCTCTGTACTACGATTTTTTGCAGCCTTCATTGTTCACCTGAACATTCGAGAGATCCCAGCGACAAGGACGAAATCATAGTCGGATCATGGACGTCTCAGAAGAGAGGCGCGACGATCATGACCTTCCCGCGCCTACAGAATGGGAAGAGGGAAATCTCAGACGTGTCTGCGATAAGATCCCCTCGACAATATTCTTAGTTGCGGTGGCAGAGCTGGCCGAGCGTTTTACCTACCGATGCATCACGGCTCCCATGCGTAAGTTCTCCACTTGGCGAATCTCTGGCGAAAGCAATAACAATAACTGAACGCATGCAGAGAACTATATAGAAAACGCTCACGATGACCCATTACGACCAGGAGCTTTGGGTATGGTAAGTATTTAGACATGGCAGGGAACGGCAGCTTCGAAATAGAGAAGAGTAGGACACTGACATGCGCTCAATAGGGACAAGGAGTTGCGACTGGTATCAACTACTTCTTCACCGGCTGGTGCTATATGGCGCCTATTCTGGGAGCCGTCATAGCGGACAGCCTGCTTGGCCGGTTTTGGACAATTTGTCTAGGGACCGGGTGATTAGGTCCCTGTTTGCAAGTAGCGATACAAAGGAGGACATGTCTGACAAACCTAACAGAGTCGCGAGTTGTGGTGTCTTGATTCTTTGCGTCACTTCTTTCCCTGCAAGTATTGAGCACGGTGCTGGTCTACCGGGCCTCATCGTTGCATTGGTCTTGATTGGTTTGGGGTCAGTGATTCTTGATGATTCAAGATTTGGATATTCCATCATACTGACTTTCTGTTATAGTTTTGGAGGGATCAAGAGCAATGTTGCTCCTCTAATCGCTGAGCAGTACGCCAGGAAACCTCTCCGGATCAAGACACTGACAAGTGGAGAAAAGGTCATTGTAGATCCTAACATCACAATTCAGACTATTTATGGTCGTTACTACTGGTCAGTAGGCATTGATCGCGGTTTACGAAAACAACACACTGACCTCGTCTAAGGGTTATCAATATTGGCTCACTCTCTGTGATACCGGCGTCTGTGGGTGCAACCATGTCGTATTTTGTCCTAATGTACTGACGGACACGCGATTCAGTGGCTAGAGCTGAAAGTTTCATTCTGGGCTGCATTCCTCCTACCGCTCTGCTTCTGGGTGTTACCAGTTGGCGCACTGGCCGTGGGTCGTGGAAGATATGGTAAGTGACAAATCTACCTTCCGTCATTCACGCAATGGTTGTTACTTACTCATAATTTCTAGTTGTCCAGAATCCAAGTGGCTCAGTTCTAATTCAAGCAATGCGAGTCTTCTGGGTCGGTCTCAAGAGAGGCTGCAATCTCGATGCTGCAAAGCCATCAGTCTTGGCACGAACTCACCCTGCAACTACTGTTTCCTGGGACGATGCATTTGTTGAGGAATTGAAACGAGCACTCGTCGCATGTTCTGTATTGTGAGTTATCTGAAGCGACATGAGACCCTTGATATTTGTGCACTGATAACTTTCATGCCTTTCGTCAGTTGTGTGTTGTAAGTCTCAGGTCCCAACTGCCCATCAAAGACTTGGATTGCAGCAGACTAAGCTGGATTGCAGTCCCATTTTCTGGGTTTGTTACGGTCAGACCAACAGCAACCTGGTTAGCCAGGCAGCCACCATGAAAACCTATGGCATTCCGAATGACATGAGTATTGCAACCGGGGATCCTTACGCGTTATGAGAGCACTAATTGAGGCCTATAGTGGGATGCTTTAATCCAATCATGGTTTTGACCTTTCTTCCAACCATGTACGCATACTGCTAGGCTGTCTTATATTCCATTTTAGATACTAAGACATTCTCTAGGGAAAAAGTCGTTTACCCAACCCTGCGAGGGTTTCGCCTCAGCTTTAAACCAATCAGTCGAATCACCGCCGGTTTCCTGGTGATGGCATGTGCCATTGGATATTCGGCAGGGATTCAAGACCGTTAGTAGTAAAATGTTTCAACCCACTCTTCCAAGGCCTGCTGACCCAGGTCGCAGTGATTTACCGATTACCTCCATGCTACGAACATCCTCTTAGCAGATATTGCAGCGACGGTGGAAGAACGCCAAATGACGTAAGAGAGTTTCTTTCAACCATTCTCGCTCATCCCAGCGAGAGCCTAACAAAAACACAGGTCAGCGTCTTCCTGCAAGTCCCCGTCTACACAATGACAGCCCTTTCTGAAGTCCTTGCGTACGTCGCCGGCATGGAGTACGCATACACCAAAGCCCCTAAGTCCATGCGTAGCGTCGTATCAGCTCTCTTCCTCCTCACCTGCACCATCGGCTCAATGCTGGGCATCACGCTCTCACCCGTCTCAAAAGACCCCAAGGTCCTCGTAGAATACGCCTCGTTGAGCGGCGTTATGCTCGTCACGGCCGTCTTGTTCTTGCTCGCCTTCGGGAAGTACAACAAGATAGAGGAGAAAATGAACATGCTCAATAGCGGAGACGGGGAGTCTACCTCTGTGAATGAGACGGCGCAGCAGACGCAGATAGCCCAGAAGGTGTAAGAAAGGTGCGCTGATCATTGAGATCCGGTAAAATGACCTTTGAAGAGTAGATGCGTCGTCCGGATTAGATGAGGGTTTCTATGGTTCTCAATGGTCTCTGCTGACTTGCAGCACTTTGAAATTCTTGGTCAAAACATAAAGAGTTCTTGGAGCAAGCGCTTGTTGATGGGAAATAGAAATGATATCGTATACACTTCCATGTGCTTGGTAAAGTTGCATTCGTTGGAACCGAATCAAATAGTTATCTTGGCACTATTTTGCTTAGTAATCACTAATTTTTAACTTAGGATTTTCCTAGAACTATTGACATCACTAGATAGCCTAGTATCTATTCTATCTAAATATAAAGAATTAATTCAAAATATCTAGTGGTTGGTGAGATATATGGGAATAATCATTTCTGTCATGAGTTGGATGAGAATAGTGGTGGTTTGTATATATATATGCATTAACGTTCGACAATTACTATAGTTAAAGAATAATTTTTAACCATCACCCATTCAACTCTATAGATACTGAATTGATATTTTAGATATAGATTAAAATGTCTATAATTGCCATATATTTCATATAAAAATTATAATTTTATAAAGGCATGTTTGATAGGCCATTAGTATAGGCCTAAGATAGGAGAAATTCAATTCTGAAAACCATGAAATTAATCCTTTAAGGTTATATAAATCGAGACTGAACCGAACCGAATCTAACCATAGTTAGTTAGTAGTGGCCTGGCTAGGCCTATAGGCCTAGTAGCGGTTTCTTGCAGTTAAACCCGAACCGAATCTGAACGGATCAGGTTTGGTTCTGATGTCTAAAATTTGGACTAGAAATCGCAGCAGTTTGGTTCCAACTAGGGTTGGACTCGCCCGAAGTCAGACCGAATGCAACTCTAGTCTGGAGGTAAACAGTATTATAACAATCTTTATGCTGTGGTAAGTACCTAACCACCCCTTATAATTAGCTTAGTGAAAAGTAATATTAGCCACTCAGAGCTAGTAGCCGGTCTGTCCAGTCTGTTGAAGACTGTACTCAGCTTAGAGCATAGAGTCATTCCTGGGAATCTGATCATTGTTAATCCTAGCCCAAAGATCGATTTTGCGGCATTGCGGTTATTCACAAACGCATTAGTAAGCTTAGGAAGCTAGTTCCCAGACTTTTAATGTAGTGAGCGTGATAACAGAAGTTTCAAAGTAGATATTTGTGCTATCCCAGCATTTTGTTCGTGATATTGAAGATTGCATTGTGCTTCTTGGGAAGGGTGGTCGCTGAGACAGCACCTTGATTACTAATATAACCTCTATCGAAGAGAAAACGGGCTCTATACTTGACAGCTTCCAACGCAAACATAATGACCACGAGGGTTGTACCGAAATGAGCTCCTTGGCAACCATGGAGCAATCATACCGAAGTCAGAACCTGGTCAGGACTTTCAATTTTCCCACTTCGAATGCTAAATTGGTCATCAAATACCACCGCCCAGTCCATCACCAACCTAGAATGATACTGCTGCGTTGCGTCGATTAGCAGCGGGGTGCTGGAGATCACATAATGCAGACCCAGTTGTATCGAACAGAGCCGACTGTCTATTCTCCATTGAAATATCTCTGCGTAACATTTGAGACGCAGGTGGAAAGACACCAGATCTTTCAATAAGTACGTCAGTCCAAACTACTCCTCTCCCGAAGCCGCTTTTTTCTTCGTTGGAATAGACTTCCTGTGCTCATGAAGAGCAAAAAACATCGTGAGGATGATGCCAGACGCAGCAAGCCCGACGCCTAAGTACCAGGCTCCTCGATAGCCCCTCAAGAGATCTGTTCCGTTCTTGTTGAGATCAGTCTCGACTATTGCACCAAATCCGAGACCCAAAGAGATCGCATAATTCATAATGGTTGCAACCAAGCTGGCTGAGACCTGCAATCACAAAGTTAGCTATTTTCTCCTTCTCAAAGCTGAATCATCAAACAGCATCAAGAGACTTAGCTCCAAGGCCTTTTGGAAGGGTCTGAGTAGAAAATGGACTTACTCCTTGATGTTCTTGAGGCATCGCGTTTGAAAGTAGAATATTGGAAGCTGGAAAGGACATTTCCCTGGCCGCAGTCAGTCAGTACGGACAACAATACGAAATATAGTCATTAAGTAACTCACATGCCCAAGGCATCACTATTATGGACACAAACAGCTGCGCCCAGTAGCTCTGTTTGATAGGCATGGTGGCATAGAGAATGTCGGCTGTGCAAAAGGCCGCTGCAGAGATCATCATGACCACACTGGCAGGCAGTTTCTGAAGGATTAACCCTGTTGTGAAGGAAGCAACAAACCCGCTGATGGCTGCAGGCGAAAACTGCAGACAAGCAAATAGAGGTGAGATGCCTCGAAAGTTCTGAACAAACTCCCAGCCATAGAATACCCAGACTCCAAACGCAGCCCATCCACATGCCAAGGTGGCCAGGACGAAGCTAATGTCTGGTGTGATGGCTGAGAATGGAATCAAGGGAAAGCCGCCTTTCGCTCAATGTATCCAAATAGACCGAAGAACACCAACGAAGCGATCAGGAGGATATAGATGTATGGGCCCTGCCATTGCGCTCCGGGGGCTATGTTCAAGGCAATGTTGAAAAGGATGAGGCCGCTAATCCCTGTGACGCATCCAGCGATATCCATTCTTGCCCATGGACTGTGCGTTGTTTCCTTTCGCGGTGTTGGGGTGCGTGGAACCAGGAATATGGCGACAATACCGCAGACCGCTTCCAAAATGGCCATAAACCAGAATCCCCAAGGCCACGATCGATATTTGGCAGCGAGAGCGGAAACCAGACCTCCAAAGATGAATCCACTGGGTGCCGTAGACCCGAAGGCGCTGAATACCATTTCCTTGCGCATCCCTGGCTCATATGATCTCGCCAAAATAGCCATTCCATTGGGAAGTAGAAAGGCAGGGCCAATGCCCTGAAGAACCCGACAGCAACAAAAAAACACAGGCCCACTGGATTCCGCGAATGCGGCAATCAGTGTCCAGATCGCAAGCCAGAAGAATCCAGCAGTGAAGAGGAGTTTATGGCCGTACAAATCGCCCAAACGACCGGCACCTAGGATGAATGTTCCCACCGTCAGAGAGTAGGCAGCCGGAAACCACGAAAGTTGACTCATGTTGTTGCCGATACCAAATGATTCCCCAAGAACAGGGAGAATTGATATCACTTGGCCAAGACCAGCTTGGCTCACAAGCTGGGCCATGCAGACCACGACGATGAACGCAATCTCGCCAGATAGTGACTGAGGACGTTTGACGTCCAGGTCCTCTTGGGATCCTGTTGGTGTGGACGAATCGTCGTGCTCTCCGTCGACCCCGTGCGCCTCATCGTCAATGAGATCGTTGCGTGGCATGATGGCGTTGGCGTTTACGTTTGCGTTTTCCAGAGACTGCTATTATGGTCTCTTTCGCCTGGGTTCTCGAGCTGTGGTGATTGTTTACACACCAACATACAATGATGCCTGGAGATGCAATAGTATATTGTGATTGTAATATCTGACTCGATTGATGGTAAGAGAGATGGTACACTTCATGCACTGTGCAAACGGTTTTACCCCTGGCTGACTGAACAGTCACTCCACTTGAATTCTGACCTGTCCTGCACTCTATCTTCTCGATCCGAAGCCGTCGGGACGGGACAAGGCAAAGCCACTTAAGCACGTCAGTGGCCTCGGAGGCACACCAGCCGTACGTATAGCACTCAACTTGAGTAGTTTCGTAGATAACCGTGTTGGGACAATTCTACACACCTGTCCGGATTGGTTCGGATTTCGCCTATCGAAGACCCACAGGGCCCCATTTCAAAAGTCCGTTGAGGCTTCGGTAATTCGGTAATCTTATCGTGTCAATTCCGAGGCTTGATATCAGATCCGAAGCTCTTGCCTGATAAGGCGCAACCGGCGGGTTGTACCGTCATCCCAAGCCACTAGATGATTTCAGTAGATATGGGTCTCTTAGCTCACCGGTCCGGCATCCCAAATGGCAAGGCGACCGAACGATATCACCAGTCTCTCGGGAAGATTGGGAAAGAGGGAAGAAAATACAGCTTTGAGGATTTATGCAGGGCGCCTGATTTCAGCGACGGATGGCTGAGGCTGGGCCTCTTACCGTTTTGGTCTATCTCGTGTGTTTGTGCATCCAGAAATATTACCACGTACACAACGATCCGCAGTTCTGGTCACTGCCGCCGATGTGGCGGTTACCTCGTGAGGGAAATTTGTTTGTCATTAAAATCCGCATCTGATTAAAATTTTATGCCATGTAGGATGTCCTATTTATCGAACGGATGAACCCAAAAGTCCTTTGCATTCCTAAATCCGCCCTAACATGTGATTCATCATTCTTGGGCCTCCGTTACCTGTCAAAAACTCCTGTGTCAAGGAAGCTGTTTACCGATGGAATTGATGTACGGCCGGCTGACAAGTAACACTCGTGCCCCATCAGGATCTCTCACCGTGGCATAGGTCGCCAGAGGTTCCGAGCCAAAACTAAATGTTGCGACGTGAGGTTTCCCTCCCATACCCAACCTGTCCAAACGTTCCAAGGTGGCATTGATCTTGTCCCCCATCCAGAAAGATGTCAGGAACAAACCCGTGTTTGGAGGATCTGAATCGACAGTAGGAATTTTCTTGGCATCTGGAAACTCGACGAGGTAGATGACGCCATCGGTTCCGTTGTGAACAGATGTCGTATCGCCGAGAAAGTAACCGGGTAGCACAGAGGTGCTAGTTCCGAAGAGAGTCGTCAGATCCCCTTGAAAAGTGTAGTTTCGTATGATGTTGAGCCCGAGTCCATCCACATAGAACCTCAGACTTTCCGACAAAGAGCTGGGCCGAAACTACAGTATGGTGAACTGCATACTGTGGCGCAATTAGATCATCAAACGACAGGTATTGGACCAGATTGCCCGGTCGAGACTCACATGAGTATCCGGTTCTTGAATGATAGTCGGAATTTTGTGCCGGAGGTGAAGCACCAGTTAATCCTGCTGACAGACACAGGAGAAGCTGTAAGACCGCAAATCGAGCCATGGTTGAACGAAGCAAATTTGATCCGCATGCTACCAAATTCGTCAACGGGAGTCCAGGGAGACGACGACCGAAATATATGTGTATCATGCTTGTTCAAATCAACCCATCGAAGATGATGTAAGACAGAGAGAGTTATTGGCTGTCGTCTATGTCTCGGATAAACAACACCACTTTCGGAAGGCAGTCCGGAATACGTGTTCAGACTGATCACAAGTAGTACCTTGAACATGAACCGCGTGAGTCACGGATCAACAGGAGACTGGACCGATAAATCCTATTCGCTGGCCAGATGCCACTGATGTCGCAGTATCTCCCGGAGCAAAAAACAGCGCAGATGTACTTAGCCGCAGACCTGATTATAGATTATAAAAAAGGCGGTGGAGGCGCTATTCTCTTAGCAGTAAGCCCATGACTATCGCACCTCTCATTTATAGCTTGCCTGTGTAATACCCAGTCGCCGATCGCACTTTGAGATTGCAGTGCACTGCATTTCTTAGGCTGGAGTATTCATTCCGTACTGCCCATATCTTGCAGACACGACACTACCGTCTCGCGATTTCTCAGCTCTATTTCGAATCCATCCGTCAGAAATATGATTGCATCATCCAGCATAGTGCCTCCTGGTGCCTGGTACTCGTCACTGGCGTCACAGGTTTATTTGGCTCGTACATTGCGAACGGGCTGCTGGAGCTTGGCTACAGAGTGCGCGGAAACAGTCCGCTCGAGTGAAAAGGCAAACCTGGGTGACGCAAGCCCTGACCAGACGCAACCCCTCTGCAGATTTCGAGGCTGTCATTGTACCAGACCAGAATGCCCCCCGGCGTCTGGGACGCAGTTCTCAAGGATGTCGATGGCATCGCCCATGTCGCAGGAGACGTGAGCTTCGGACCCGACCCGACCAAAGTCATTACGCCAAGTGTAGAAGCTCTTCGAAGACTTCTTGAGGCTGCTAGAAAAGAGCCTTCAGTCAAGCGTTTTCGTATTCACCAGTAGCGATCAAGCAGCAAGCAATCGTTCGACTACGCGGGAGATCCCGATCAATGAGGAAACTTGGAATGAAGAGGCCATCGAAGCGGCGTGGAAACCACCGCCTTACGAGGCGGAACGTGGGTGGGACGTTTATTCTGCACTCAAAGCGCAAGTTGAGAAGAGAAATGTGGAGTTCAGCCAGAAGGAGAAGCCAACCTTCGTGGTGAACTCTGTTTTGCCAACTACACAATAGGGGCCATCCTTCGACGAGCAAACAGGCAGGTAGCACGGCGAAATGGTTGCTAGACTTCTACAAAGATCCATCAGAAGGATGGCTTCATGAGAGGTTTCGGAGCCTCATATTATGTTTATGTCGGAGATGTGGCGCTCTTGCACATTGGTGCGCTGACTCTAGAGGAGTACAGAACAAGCGCTTGTTGGCATTTGCGGGCCGTTTCAGTTTCAATAGTTGGCTCGAGGTTTTCCGCAAACAAGACCCTGGCAAGCCCTGGCCAGAGGATGATCCTACCCAAGCGCTGGATAGAAGACGAGTTAATGGTGAGACGGAATTGGATATACTAAGGCGGTTTGGGAAGGATGGTTGGACAAGCTTTGAGGACAGCGTCTTGAAGGTATTGGAAAGTCCTTGATATCTAAAGACATGAATACATTTGGGGTGGCGTATGCCCAGTGCAGATCTACTTGGAAATTGAGTTCTGTTTCACGCTTCTGAAACATTGTACTTGGTCTCAGAAATGTAAAAATTGTAGGGGTTAATTGCTGACAATCCGGAGAACGGCTGATAAATCCCCTTGGTCAGCTATTTGTGCTTTGCTGCTATTCCTATTCTACTATCTAAGAGATGATGAAAAATTCATCCCTGATCAGCTAACTACCACCGTCCATCTTGGTTGTGGAAAGTTGATTGAGCTCTTGACAAACGGTACACGCAGTCCACTCTTGACGCTCAAGACCTGAGCTTTCTCCCAGTCCCAAACTTTGCCAACGGTGAATGGATCATTTTGAAGAAGATTCAAAGCTTCCTTCTTGTCATGAGCTTGAACCAGAACCCAACTACCACGCTCAATATTCTCTTCATGATCGTCGTACATAGGGCCTTGGTTCGCAACGCGTTAGCAATCATTATATTCCACACTTCCGCATTTTGTATTACCTCCGGCAAGCCAGTATTCTGATTCTCGTTCAACGAAACGTTCGGAGGGCTAGAGAGCTTTAGAACCGTGTCATACTCGTTGATCCGACCAGGACTTACTCGGTCCAGGACTCTCGGTTCTTGAGACCATCCGGGCCATCAGGTAAGATGAACAGAAATTCGTGCTTTTCAGACATTTTTGTGGTTCCAAGTGGTTGATTAGGTGAACAATTCAGGAACTTCCAAAAGTACTTTGCACTTCGTCCAAGCTAGAAAGTGATATTTTCCGCTTATGAAGTCAGGCTGGTCGTTGATCACCCGGTTTGTTGAGTCTTACGTGGAATCACTGTTCCCGACGCTCGGCTCTGAACATGATGGACATAGCCGGGTCGATGAAAGTTTTAACCACTGGAACGACACGGCACCATGAATTCAATCCGCGTAAGCAGTGACAACCAAATCTACGGATGAGCTGTACCGGGCCCCTGCATATTTCCGAGCAGTGTGGTGCTTTCAGTTTAGCGATCTGTAATTTCCCTGAATTAGCGGCTGTCTGATGAATTCAAATGACTCGTCTGCCCCGTATAGCTGCATTTAGATCCGTGCCAAGGTCGGTACGGACTAGTATATATACCGGAAAGCAGGACACGTTGTGTTGCATCAATTTTGCTCCGAGAGCATGTCGACTAGGCATTTGTCCTATCATAAATTGGTGCTGCGAAATGCGCGAGGATGACACGTAATCTCGGAAATTGTGATGTATCCTAAAAACCTGCGCAGTTCTAATTTGTTCCAAGCTCGGGCCGGTCCAGGGTCCAGACTCCATCGGTTAACACCAGAGTGGGGAACCCGGGAAACCCAGACGAATCAAGAGCTAATACTCAAGGGAAGGTTAACCGATAGCAGGGTCTCAAATTGGTAGTTCTTGATTGATGATCTTCATAAGTCCTAGTGTAATACAGAAGGCGTTACTACTCGTTTCCCCCCACTAGCCCTCCGCCCTCCAGTGACGTGAACCTCATTTTCATCCATGTTACAGGTCAGGTGGCATCATTCTAAAGATGGGACGCCGCGCTAGTTGATCATCCGACTTATATTGTGGCTTCTGGCCTTATCAGCACTCAGTATTTAGTTAGCCGGTATCAGACCTTTACATATAATATCTATTTATTTGGTCGAGAGTCGACTGCTTCTTAACTACTATACAACCACTCTTTAGCTAGTTCCCAACTGCTTGACAAGTACTTGCACTTTGAATTATATCCCCCAACTAATAGATACAATATAAGTGTAGCCGGTGACATCAGTAACATGGGTACTCAGAGAGATCATCTGTATACTCGATATATAGCATGCGAAGGGGGTTTGATTTTGCCATCTGTTAGGTGAATGAAAGCAATTGGTTGCTAAGTAATCCCAAACCAATTAAAAAGTACTCATCAACCAGTTGGACGGCATACCTCTTCAATTTCCTCAACATCCGCCTATATTTGAAGACATGTCTTCAATCCTGCCAAATCTAAAAGGAATATCCTCTTGATTCGTGTTGTCG